GGAGTGGAGTTAGTAAGAAGAGTGCTTGTTTGCATTTTGTCGTCCTTCGATGAGTAGCAGTTATGCAAATAGTTTAATGAATCGTCTACTCGTGTTTTAAATCTGATAACATGTGCACAGAAATACCATAATTCGGAACGGCGTTCCACTACTGAAAAACTGGAGAAGTAATGCAGAAACATTCGGCACGGCCATAGTGCACGCCGAACCCCAGCTGTTACTTCTACAAGTTTATGTCGTGGTGGGCAACATGACTGAGGGTTCCGGAATGTCAATATGTCACCCTGTAGACGGCAACACCTCCCGCTGTAATTTCCTATGGCTTTCAGTCCAACGAAATGAGAGAGTGAACGAGTTTTAAACATGACTAGTTGCCCTCGGCCGTGAGACATAGATTGAACACATTCAGCAACCAAGTTTACTACAGCTGAATTGTATACTCAAAAAAAGGGCCGTACGTACAAGTTAAGTGTTCTGAGGACGGTGGAATATCAAACCACCCGAACACATTTCGTGAACTGGTAACCTGCTTGTTTCAGATTTTCAGTAGCTTCACCCATTACTTCGAGTAGCCGAGTCTATCCTGGACCACTAATACAAGGTCATGCAGCTGTACTATAAGCTAAAAGGGAGTCTCGGAGCAAATATTTGCTAATTCGCTGATAAAATTCATGAACCACTTTCTATTCATCTTCGCTAAATAATGTCACATTCCCCAATAAATATCTAGAAGCACCGTTCAGTCATTACCACAACAAGTCTTGGCATTCTCGACTATTAATCACTGGTCCGGTCTCGTCTGCATCTGAGATAATTTATAATAAGGTGCAGGTGTGTATACGATCCTAGCACAGATCCGTGTAGAACACTGAGTTCCACCTTACTCCGATCATCAGATGGGCCTCGGAATCACAACAGTCCCTGCTACAAGAAGAAATTGCTGGTCTACTAAACGATGATAGTACTGAATCCGTAGGTTTGCAGCATATGCAGAAAGATGCGGAAATCCGGCATTTAGAAGGCTTTGGATAAGGTAAAATAGAAGGTATCGGTTTCGGTCTTGAGATCTACAATTTTGTTCCAAGTACCCTTTTCGAGAAGTATGCTGACGGCACATGAACAGTGCCCATAGAAGCCCAGCTGCTCTGGCGCAATAACGTGGAACATTTCTGGATAGTCCATCAGTACCTTAGCAAGGCTTACTTCCTTCACTTGAAGGGAATTTAGGCGACGTTTTGCAGTTTCAGGACCACGAACACTAACAAAACGAGTTAAAAAAGCCCTCGTTCCACATGGTACGGATGACTTTTTATCCAGGCACATTTGAAACAATCGCGATAATTACTTGGCTATCCTCACAACAGCCAACTTCATCGCATTCATGTGAATCTTATCACAAAGAACTGTATACACCACAACATCAACCCCCGTAACAAAGTCGCTTAACTAGTAGAGATGAATTTCAACTACTGATGGATTTGGGAAGATATGTGGCCTGAGGTGGCTATAATTAGATTGAATCATATTGCAGTTGAAGTGCATTGACGGCTTCTTCGGTACTTTGCGCCCAATCTCCAGGTAAAATTAGTTGCTGAATTACATGCTTTGATTTCTGAAGACTGTTGATATGTTTGTACTATAGCTTTTAGAGACAAAAGCTTTTCTATGAGCAATGCTCTTGCGGTTATTTGAGCTCAAGGATAAATTTGCGTAGTGATTGCGCCGAACCAAACAGTTGATTCAGGTGCTAGGACCAGAAGTGTCTTTGTATCTACGATATACCCAATCCCTTACTGCTATGCGTTTTCGAGCTCTGGTCCAACTAAAGGATGTTGTGCTGGTAGAACGAAGTGGTCTGATTTCTGATGCTTAACAGACAGCTAAAATTTCCAACCAACTTCATCCAACTAACTTTGACTTATCCTAAGGGGGTTAGCCTTTTCAGTACCCAGAAAGCATGGTAGGGTGTGTAATCGTCAGACGGTGTTAAGCGCGAGAGTACGAAGGAGTGCCAGCTGCAGTGTATTTGTGCTGTAGCTTAAGGCAGAACCAGAACAACCGTCTCGTGTTAGAGATATCCACAAGCTCACAAATTTGTACATTTGGAATCTCGAAAGGTATGCTCTTGTTTTTTACTGTGTACCCCTTTGTTATAGTCACATACCTCGATTAGTTCATTGATTTGGCGGAATACGTGATGGAAGTGACTTATGCAGTACTGCACCTGGCTTTGAGTATCATGCGTGCATGGTGTCGAAAGTCAACATTTTGCAGTTGTCGGTCAACACAGCTGAATGAACTACTCCTGAGTAGGGGATTTTTCATGTAATTGTTTGGGAGTTCTTCGTAGCAGCAAATGGGCCTGCACATGCCCGGGAAAGCGGCAAACTGCAGTTTCGGTTTGTTGTGCAAGATCAGTTGTGCACATTCAACAAGATTCGAACCGATGACCATCGGCAGCTTGCGCCGTCAGTCTGCAGCTTGTGCCCCTGGCCCACGACTTACAGTGTCGGATCGCACTGATTTGCAAGCCAACTGCCACATAGCGTGTCTTATCCTCTACTGGCAAGCAAGTTACGAATGTTGCCTAGGACAGGGTTGACCCCAAAAGACGACGTCTTGATGGACCCGATGGATGCACAATACAGACGACGCCAACAGATAAAAACTGCAATCTAGTGTTTTTCCGGAACTGTGGAGGACCATCTGATTCGGGAACCGTTGCGACGAACTCTCAGATTAATAAACTGTCCGGTCTTTACTGTGTACGTGTAGAGGCCAGAGCCATCAAAGGGGTGGAAAACTGCACATGGCAAGGTCAACTCTACGTCAGTGCGGTGTAAATTGGCTTACTGTGTCCCATAAATGAAAGTAAACTCACTCTGTTGTGATGGAATTATGCAAGCGGAAGGACGGTACGGATTTACAAGACGAAGCAAGCGGCTAGCTTGCTGCAGGCTAACGAAGCAGATACTTGGACGCCAACGCACCTTTGCCTATACGCTGATTGGTTCGTATTTGGCAGCGCTGAAGTATGTTTGACCGATTCAAAGGAATAATCTCGTGAATACAGCAACGTGGTTAATTATGGAACTGATCTTGATCGATCTGGAAGCGTTGTAAGCACTCCAACATGCAGCGTAAGCGCCATGTGCCAATTCGCAGATGTCGCAGAACTCGGTCCTTCAGAAAAAAACGGTTTATTCGCCAAAGCAGCCTCAGCGAAAAAAGCAGCATAATTAGATTGTAGAAGCCTCCATGTTGCCGTTTTCGCTGAGGCCGCTTTGGCGAATAAACCGTTTGTTTCTGAAGGACCGAGTTCTGCGACATCTGTCGAACTGGCACGTGGCGCTTACGCTGCACGTTGGAGTGCTTAGAACAGTTCCAAGTCGATCTTGATCTATTCAGTAAGGGGAGCCTGAGTATCCTGATTGTGGACCTTAGAATCTTTTGATATGGGTGCACGACTGCATCTTGTTTCCAAGAATTTTCAAGGTCGCTTCATTTCTTCAGTATTTTCGCTAATCAACCTGCAAGTCTTGTCAGGTGTTTGGCTTCCACCCATTACTAACAAGTAGTTGTATTTCTGTTGGAAGTTTACTGGCTCATCCGAGCTGCTTACAAGCCAGGTGATCTAACTCCCAGTCCGGAAATACACCAAACGATCGTTTCGCCTTACTGTGCCTCGTCAATGTTTCGCATTCACTCAATTCCCTGAAGATAACCGAACCAAGCACGGTTAACGACTATCGCCAAGTAGCTAGCAGCATTTGCCACTGAGTCATGGGGGACGGTGGCAGGCCGTCGTAACTTATATGCAACGCCATGATCCAACGTGAGGTACGGTAGACACTCCGGATGTTTCATTACAAGAAACCAAATGCGCCAGCATAAGTTACAATTCGCCTCCCTCATTAGTTTTCATTTACGTTGTCTTTCGCGGCAACTCCGGTCCAAAGAAAACGCTTGTTGATATGCAGACTGTGAACGTAATCGTTCCGAATGCCCTGGTGGTGGTTGGTTCAGGGGCATCAGTGCCGCTTTTGGCATTGAAATAGTGCTCACTTTTTGCCTCTATACGTAATCTATTACACGGGGTGCCAAGTCTGTCTCAACAATCTGAAAGCGTTAGTTAGTAAAGGTGCCAAAAGTAAATATCCGCCTATGATCTCTCACACCGACGCTGATTTAGGAGTCTGTCATTTACGCAATTGCCACTACCAACCGTCCTGTCATTTAGGTACAGTTCAAGTGTGATCTTCACCAGTGGGGTGGCCGTGTATGCGTCGCAAAACTAGAGCGACTTTGGTTTCACACTGGGCTGCCTAACTACGCTTAATGATATTTCGTCACCGCTAAATTTACCCACCATAATGCAATGAGAACACGGAATTACCCCTCTGATATTCTGGGTGCAGGTTTCTGAATTGCATATGCTTTTCGTATTCACCACGTTAGGCCCAAACATATTAGTCAATCGCTGCTACAATTCTGTAGACGTATTCTTGTTCGGTAGTGTCTCCCGGAGGTTTAGTCAATGGTAAGGCACTTGATCTCAGTTCAAGAATATGGCATGCGGCTACATTTAACTCTCCGTCTCTACACGCCGCAGTTTGGGGGTTCTGAAACCTTATCGTCAGTAGTGCGACCCTATCGTACACTGTGTCCTAGGGTACAACGTAAGGGAAGCTGCCACATCAGTCGCCCAAAACCCATGTGAATTGTGCAAGAAATGAATGTCAGTGGCCAAACAATGTAGTGTTTAAAAGGTCGGATTGTTTCTTTACTTGATTTTCGACAAATATGGTTGTTGTTCTTGTTTCGCCCCGAAGTAGGGTGGGACATGAAATAACCTTTCTTTACACAATATCTTTTTTGCCGAGAAGCGCATAAACATGCTGATCAAGATGAGGTTGTGTTGCCCAAATGTAACGCATTGCTACATTTATATTGTGTACTTGTGCCTAAGCTTCGTGTTACTTATCTTATTGCTCTTACAGCAAACCTCAGACGACGACCCGGACGAAGGCATTCGAGATTTGGTTGATATTGTGATCAGACGTTTGGTAAGTGCCGAGACAATTCAGGCACGACATTTCCTTCTGTATTCTATTCTGCCCGTGGATCCTAAATTATGCTAACATATGGTGGTGCTGTCACCTAATTTACTCATTGATAACATGCCTTGCAAACACTAATAGAACGCGAAATATCCCGTTATTAAATTATTCTAAAAAGCACTTACGCGTTACAATGAGATGCTCAGACAAAAGGATCAGCACACAAGATACCTACATATTCTAATACAGTGACATCTGTCCTATCAATGAGTAGACATCAGTTGGGCTCGGCGCATTTATCTTCTCACTTAGATGGGTTACCAAAATATGCAGTACAATAGTGCCATACAATGAGTTACAAAACAAATAAAGCTTTTTATATCTTCACAACGTCCTATGGTTATTTAGTACGTAGGGAAAAGCAAGAGCGGAAATCCACCGTGTGACCATAGAACATTCCTTACCAAGCATGCCAACACCAACGCAATAAAAGCGACTGGTAATAACAATTTCGGAGTTCACTGTTAGTACATTTTCCCAATCAGGATTTGTTACCACAGGGAATTGACCACTCGGTAGCCTCTACGGTCACATGTGTAAATGATATTCCAGGTGAAACTAGCTCCGAGAAACTTGCTTTTCCTTGGCATGGGCATATATCATACGTACATTTGATTGCTGACGCAATCCTTGATGGTAAATTAGCTTGAATAAATGGTCGTGATGCAGCCATTCCTGCTTTTCGTATGGGTGTAGACCTACCCGCGACATTCATGGGTATCAACTTTTGTGTTCTTGTTTAACTATCACTGGATTATGCAACGAAATACCCATATATCATTGTAGACGTTAAAATTATCTTTAACTTGCCAGCCAACCATTTGGCGATAATTATTACCCGAGTGCGGCCGAAGTAACTTTTCACTTGCATCTGCCGGACCAAAATGATGCGGGACTGACCAAATGTGTTTGTCAGGAGAAACGTAATGATGCGCATCAACAAAGCCCAAATCGAACACTCACCTCCACCTCTATTGGTGTGGACACACTTGTAAGGTCTGAAGGTTTCATGTTCGCATCCAGTCGGAATTCAATACGTCTAAAATGTGGCGTCAATGTATTGCTGATACCGGCATCATAACATCAATGATGGTGCGACTTGTTGCCATTGACGCGGAAAAACCGACTTATTCCCGACCCAGTGGTCCGATAAGGCAATTGCGCAAACATGCACTATCAGCGAGAAGTACTCCCGTAACTGGATGCTGCAGTGTAACCACATCGACCAGTAACAAAACCGGTTCTCGTTCTGATTGCTTCGTTCGTCCTCTTGTTTCAACGAAGTTCGATTGAAGTGGCGGGACACAGGTACAAATGTTACATCCGCGTCGCTGTTTCTAACTTGTAAACGGACTACAGTCTGCGCATAGACTAGGAATACGCAATTAATACACAACAAACTCGGTAGTGTGTTCCACAAGGCAACCTTTGCGAGATACCACTTCTTCCGCGGTTCAATTGATTTTAGGGGCAGTATAATAACGAGGGGGTGTTGATAAGCTACTAGTTTTGCTCTCTTCCAGACGACATAGGAAAAAGCATGTATTGGCATATGAGATCTTCATATCTTATTATCTAACAGTGCAAATATAAGGTGTTTTTGATTCCATTAAGACGGTTATTTTCTAGGTAAAACTGTGGTGGTAGAGGCAAAAGCACGTTTCACGTTGTTTGTGTTACGGGCCATCATGAAGCCTTTGTGTCTTCAGCAAATTTCTGCGAGGGAACTTCGCAAAAAGATGCTACAAACACTATGGATGAAGTGTCCTTTCTACAGTATTATCAAAAGTTGTGCATTTTATTGTAATGCTGGTCATTTCAACATTTCAAATAAACCTTGCAGTGGGCATTCCCAAATCATAATTGATCCAACAACTCCCTAGACTGTTCATGTACTGAGTCTGGAGCACCGGCGAATATACGCTGAAAGACTGCCCAGATACTGGACGTTTCACGACAACGTGTTGAGTTTGTTATCTACTATCCTGGACATACGTAAGCTTTCAACAAAATGGGTGCCGAAACACTTGACCAGTGATCACAAACAGAAACGAGTTGAGACTGCCGAATTGAACACCTCGGTTTTCCAAATAATCCACCACCTCCTTACTCACCTTATCTAGCCCCGTTAGATTATTTTCGCTGACCGAACTTGAGAAAACATTGGAAGTGGCGACGTTTGAAAACATTCATGACGTTACATTTGCTAATTACCGCTGCTTTGATGCATAACCAAATGATTTTCACTTGACCACTTTATAAAAATTGTAAATGTACCGTACCAGCTGCATCAGAATTAGGGGTAAATATGCTGAATAAATGTGTCAATTCACGCCTCTAGCATTCTTCTCTGGTCAAAGTTAAGAACTTATCAGCAGCCCCTCTTAGCTGCCTTAGAAGAATCGATAATCATAAAAATGCACTATCCTGTGTGTAAGCTAGCTCATCTTATGGGCCCAGTCAATACCGACATGCATGATGCATGCATGTGAAAAGTACAGTCAAGTGGTGTGCAATTCAGAAGGTAGAAGTTGGTTATATTGTGGGCAGAATAATAGTGAAAACCCAGGTTTCCAAAACGAATGTCCAATTAAGTTTAGACTACGCGACTGAAAAAATATGTACAAAAACCATTGTGATTCTCCTGGTTTGATTCACACTAACTATCTGCTTGCTTTGCATTGCAAAGCGAAGCTATTGGGCAATATACTAACACCAGTTTAACTGTAGAGCATGTTTAGCCTCTCTCACCTACTACATCATCTGTGGATGACACTTGCAGCATCACAAATGTCCATACGCTCGAAATCATTCCAGAAGGTCAGTGGCTACTGCCATTTTCTCTGCCAAGCACGGCTCACCCAATCACAAACTGTTTCATTGTCGCTTACCACCTGCTCTATTTCAACAATGACTGTAGATTTCTGACCGAATTACATCGGCAAAAGTGTTTAATCAAGCGAAGCAGTGTCTGAGCACATTTCCTCTTAAACCACTCTGTACACTGCAATGCTAGCGCGTTGGTGTTTTAACACCGAGCTGCAGCACGGATGGACTGATCAGATTCCACTGGATGACCGAAGTGCACCCCAGATTGACATGTCACTTCGGGACATAATGCTTTCAAAGTGTCCATGACTGTTCGCGGTTGCTCCTTAGTTCTATCGCTATTCAGTCAAGATGCTATAACAGAACGTCATTCAGCTGTCTTATGGCTCTACCTGCCAGCAACGAAAATTGCACACCGCAGCAAATGATGCGGGGTTGCAAATAATATTCAGCCCCAGTTTAGGCAATTGGGGCCGCATTGTTCAATTTACACTCACACTTTGTATGAGTATTTTGCATTATTGAGTCGTCTGTCACAGGAATATGCTGATGTATCTATTTTGCAAGATACTCCCGGAACGGAAGTTTACACCGAAGCTTGCGAACTTTCAGCCTCGGAACATGCGTTAAGCTAATGCAGTCAGTTATCATATTGAAACGTAGCCGGCAATGGTGTCGATATGACCAACAGCTTTCCGCAGCTGTAATGAATTGCTGAAAATGAATCCATTGAGGTTCATAAATGTTATTTTAACCTGACTTACCAAATTGGCACATTCGTGAAAGCATCTGTCCGAGGTTTGGTACAAAGACATCGAAGTAAATTTCTATTACTTGGTTGTTTGCGTTTCAAACATGACAATACCACGTTTACATGCCTCCACAGACGAGAAGAAATTCTGATAATTCAGCACTGTTGCGTAGTTGTCTGGTGTTTATCGATGTGCACCTAAATTTTACTCATATTCCTCATTTTTATCAGCGACCTATTTGTTTATAGTTCTTATTGAACCGTCTGTATGAGACAGTCCGCTTAACAACCGTATAGGCAGCGGCAGAGGCGATGAAATGACCATTTACCTAATAGCTGGTGAACGCTCATAACTCATCGTCTTTTGAAGTTGCGCTTGGATAGCAGCCCTCCAGAAAGACACAATTTGAACAGCTAGGCCTGCGTGGACTCTCCTTACTCTACCAGAGTGGGTTAACTGTGAGGCTTGTAGCCTCTTCGTTCCGGGTTGGCACCCTTGATCCTGTTTTCCTTCGGTGTCTTGTAATATTTGAGTCCATGTATGAATGTCGGCCGGTGGCCGAGTGGTCTGCGCGACTGGTTTACAACCATACATTCATCGGTTCGAATCCGCGTAGGGGTGGTCGTCCTCGCGGAATACTCATCCCGCGCTACTGGTGGTGTTCGTGCGGCAACGAAGGGCAGTTGCGGCGTAGAACTGACCCCCCCCCCCCATATACTAATTCTCGAGGGAGTATGGCAACACATTTCCGTGAAGAATATTGTTGATGACTTTACTTACCTACACACACACACATTCATTGAGATTTCTGTAGTAGATGATGTCTGAACGTAAAAGATATGCACCAGTGTACCTATGGCTCAGGAAGCCTGAAACAACACGCAGTATACGCACGTAAGCAACGACCAGACGGCCTGGTGCAGTAATACAATGCTCTACTTCTGTTCAATTGTCAGTCATTTGTGCGCTCATATTGTATCGACGCCAGCACTACTGTTTCCACAGGCGTTAACATATCAGGCCTATCGAAATGAATGGGGATATTGAGTTGTCCTCTGAGCTGAGTGATTATTTTGCAGTCGTTTCCTTGCCACACTCCAAACTACGAATAATTCCAACTATTTCCTATCAAAATGAAAAACGTAACCATATGTGTGGAACACATGGCGTCAACCAATCGCGCGTTGTACTCTCCTACAACTGACACTAAATCAACACAAGCAGGACTCTAGGTCTTTTGAGCAAAATGAAGGAGCAATTAGGGAATCATCTTCTATTTGATTCGGCGTTGTAAGCGAATCATCAAAGATGGCCTTACTGACTCATACGTCGCTGATCCGCGTAAGACTGGTTTTTGTCCATTAAACTTCTAATAACGATAGGCATGCATGCAGTGCCGTCAGTTGAACTCATTATCAAGTACCGTTTCGCTCAGCGAGGATGTTGTGTCCGTTCACGATGGAACGGGTAGACTAAGTGATCTAGAAAGTCTCAAGAAGTGTTGTGAGCTCGGAATCCATAGTGAAGCGTTATTGCTCAGAATTAGTTCAAATAGACATTAAGGGACTGTGTTTGCCTGAGTAAATAACACTACCTGAGTAGGTTTGCCGTCAGCGAGAATGACTTAACACACTGTTCTTCAAGGTGACAACTGTTGGTTAAATAAACTCGATAGATATGAGCACGAAACAGCCTCTATTATACATTTCTAGTCGCAATATCGGTTAATCCTTTTTGTAATCTGCAGGACGCAGATCATGATGGAAAAGTGAATTTCTCCGATTTCTTGGCAAATGTCCAGCAAGACGCTCTTCTATTAGAGCTACTTGGTCCCTGCTTTCCGGAGGAAGATGTGAGTTTTTCCTTACCGTTTTTAGGCCTCTGAACTTTTTAATTCTAGATTGGGAACCGCAACTCTAAGCACTTACACCTAAACATCTTGTGTTTATCTGCAGGTTGCCACGGCATTTCTGTCCACTTTCCAGGAAATCAAGATACCAAATTCCATATGGTACACGCGTCCAAGATCACTGGAGGTGTCAACGAAAACTGCCAACTGACCACCACGTTCCGCATCCGCCGAACTGCTTGCTACTTGCTGTTTTATTCGACAACTCGAAAGTGATACACTTAGATCAAAAACATGAAATATCATGATATAATCGAATTAACAAAGAAATCATCCATAAGCAAACATATCATTATTATTATCATTTTGTACGTCTTTTCATGTATTAATTCCATTCCGTACGTAGTCCTACAAGCTACAGCAAGTCCTGATTACAATCTTTTCAAAGCTTGTTAATAAATCTAAATTGTGCTTGAGTTGCTTTCTTTTATCAACTCAATATATTGAACAATGGATGAAGCCAATTTAGAGTTCCTCTGTTACCCATCTAATCCAAACACCCCTTCGATCTTCAATGGGAAACGGATGTACGCAAGGACTAAACTCATCTCATACCACGGCAATTTGTGTAAACTAGCTTTGATAATATGCACTCTCTTACTACCGTATGACTAGTGCAGTTTGATCCAGTAAGGGATATTTCAAGAATCTAAGCTGTTCAAACTTTCAGTTGCAGTCGTAACAAGTAGCGACAACGAAAGGATGGTTCAAACTGAGCTGAACTAAATGTTACCCTTCTGCAGAACACTTCTGGTTCCTTTTGTTTTGTTGGTCACCTTAACTCCATGCATAACCGCATCACTAGCATACCGTTGGTAAAGATCAAAACTCACCTCCCACTGAGCTGACTATCAAAAGTGCTTCTAGGTGGGTGAATTTTTGCTGACGTTTCGTTGGCAGTCCAGGTAACTTTATCAGTACCTCACTCCCTAGCGGGTAATCTCGCTGTCCTTGCTTGAGGAGCCCTATGACCATTTCAGCGAGATTGCGCACTACTCAGTAAAGCACTCAGGAAGTCAACTTGATTGAGGATGAAAGGCATGCAACAAAATTGCCCAGCTCCTGGAACATACCAAAACTTGGACATCCAACTCGAGTTACTGGTATTTTGATTTATCGCAATCAGTTGCGTCGTTGAGGCTAGTAGGAAAGACTGTGTGCACATGCACGCAGGTCATGAAGTGAGACTAACAGAACCAAGAAAATGCATGTCATGGCCACATTGAGTGCAGGTGAATTACCAGGAAATTGGTGTGGAGATTAGGCGGGAGTTACGGTAAACACTAGAAAATTCGATGGCTGATCCAGTTTGCATGGCCAAAGCTAATGGTTATATGAACTGACTGCATGAGCTGCGGCTATCGAAGGTGCGACGGGTTGATGGAACCGGCCAGCAGGTCATGCATACAAACCTCGTACTCCGCAGCCACAAACCGAACGTAGGCGCGGGACCAGCAACCGTGGACTGCACTGTCACGGTGGCGACAGACACCTGATCCACTGCTCGACTGAAACAGGGGCTAAGATGCGAACTGAGCTGATGGCCACGTGTACAACTGATTAGGCATATGCAACAAGCCCTGAGAACCTGTCCTTACCTGGCATAGCTTACCGTGGCCACACGTGAGCACGTGCGAGCGATGTAACTAGGGTATGACGTGTTACTAAATTTGGACGGATGCACACCATCGGTTCACATACTACGTCAGAGTTCGGTTTGCGTCAGTGTGACACTACAATTGCATGTGTGACCAATCTCAGGAAACCCATTCATATCAGCGTTGATCTGTCCCCATGCCATCATAGTGTTTCGCACCGCCGAGAAATAAACTATTTTTTAAGCCATTACTTTCCTACAGTAGTTTGAATAACACGCTGAGAATACGACCACTGGTAAATGCGCGCATTTCGTATTGTCTCATCGGTACCCAATACAATAACTAGAAATTCTCTTATACCGTTCCAAGGGTGTTACCAATCAATCAAATGCCGTGAGGTGAACAGCGGCAATCGTCCTAGGACCGAAGTATCCGTAGGTCGAAAACCGACTGTTTCTGCACACACAGAGCAGGTCTTAGCTAGCTCGTCGTCACTGTCTAGGCGAACTGTAAGAAGCGTGGATTGGGATGACGTAATAGTAACCGAAATACGGAGTCGGGCTCAAGCCGATAACGGGTCAATAAAACATGTCTGCCTATGGATCATGCTGGAGGTTTGCAAGCACACGGAATATTGGGCGAGAGATAGCTGACCTCACGTTGAAACCATTTGGTCAGGTGTTCGTTTACTCAGAAATTCAAAAAGTTCTCATTCGTGTCTATGTAACGGAAGCTGGAGATATTATCAAGTTGGTAAATATAGTGTGATTTGGCGCAGATGGGTTCCACTTCCTTTACTGAAAGCAGCGATACTTTCCGGATTCTGTTGATCACCACAGCATGTGCAGCGCAGTAAGTTGTCTGAGTGGCGGAGATTCAGCGCACCGTTGCCCTCGTGGAAGCGGTTTTAACCTTAAATGGGATCTCTAGATATACGTTTTTCGTATGTGCTGTCAGCACCGTTTATTTTGGCGGTCTGACTTGGCCATGTGTCGTGATGAGGCGCTTACAAGTAACCGTCTTACATGAGCTTTCGGGTTCTTATATCTACCTCCTCAGTCAGGCAGTCGCTCAAACAGATAGGCCTGGCAAGAATCAACAACGTTTTCACCAGTACAAGCTTGTGGCCCATCAGTGTGAAACTGGTAAAGCAAAGAAATAGACCGGATCATGTTGGTTTCCGTAGACGGAAGGCTTAATGAGCCCGGTATCTCTTCGGCTGATGAAATGTCCAAGTACGGTAGGCAATCATTCATCTCGAATTCCTTTGTTTATCCAGTGATAACAACAGTGCTGGCAAGGGATAGTGGACAAGGTACTCACTTGCCGTTAGATGGGGAATCAATTGTTGCGCATGTCGCGGAAAGCTGAAACTTTCCGGTCCATCTACCGTGGGCAAGAGTTGTAAATGTGTTGGCTAACCTAATAGATTTGCGAGAGGAGGGACGGCGAAAAACGCGGACCGGGCTGCTGGAGTCTTAAAATTAGCAATTTCGTGAAAAGCAGTGGTTACGTACTGCATCGGGTCGAACAGACCAGACGATTGTGCTATTTCAGGTAATCCCTTTAACGTGTACGGCTTGCGCTTGGGTAACTGACACTAACCGATTCGCATGGCACTTTTTGAATAGGCGATGCATTAGTAGACAACGTGATGTCAGGTCTCTGCAGTTATGTACAGACCAGTAAGTGAAAACTACCGCTTGTCCCCAAACCGATTCACTTTTGATGCAGTACCAAACCACGCGACTGACTGCGGCTATGTTAACTGCACATGACGCTTGTTTATTTAGCTATGCAAAGGAAACTCGGTGGAAGAGTCGATATACCTACTATTCCTGATCGAAGGTATTGCAGGCTCAATTTAGCTTGTTCTACTGTGACCCAGTCAGTTCCAGTCTGTTCATATAACCATTGGCTTTGGCGATGCATACTGGATCAAAATTTCGAGTTTTTAAACTAACTCCCGCCTAATCTTCACACTGATATCCGAGTAACTCACTTGCACTCAAGGTGGCCATATGTCCCGATTTAGGCGGGACAGTCCCGTATTTCAACCTGCTGTCCCGCTATTTTTTATGCTTGGCGAGACGCTTTAATGTACCGCTTGGAGTTCGTAGACCTCAGTGTTCCGCTTTGAGCATGTAGAATGTAGGTGAAAAAAGCAGAACCAATCAGTGGCGGTGCGTGCACACCATAATGTGGGGAGGCAGAAGGCAGTGATTGCCCGGAAGACAATAAGAACATACACACGGGGCGGACGGAAACGGGAACTAGCACAGTGAAGGAGAGCAGACTGAGCAACACTAGCTTGACGGAACGAGACGAAAACGAGGCATGAGGGACGTCCGCTAGTGAGCCTGAGCCAGGCAGAACGGAGAGGGTATCCATCGAGAACGCAATGAATAAGACAAAACTGTCGTTATTGTAGCATCTCGGACCAACCAGCAAATGCCGAGCTATCGAACGACACTCGGGCCGGTCAGAATGGGACGCTTAGATGCAGAGATTCGGAATGAAATGTGCGGGGTATACCTCGTCACGAGGCCCCCAAATTGCATGGGTGTCGAGAGTGGAAGCCTGGAGAGGTGGTGCGTCGTGAGAAGCAAACGTATCTCCTTAATGTGCGTTTGCATGTGCACTGATTTAGCTTGTTATCACGCCAATAACATTTGTTCTTAATTACCGCGCCGTTCTTGCTACAATAATAACAAAATAAGTGGGCTGTTATGAGTTTCGCGGAATAGGTGACTGCGTGGGTGGACAACGCGGCACAGAAAACATTTACGACAATATGCAAAGAGGGAAGAAAATCGTTGATGAGATTTTGGGACCTTTGCTGAAGAATGCCTGCGTTTTGTAGGAAAACCGTCTAAACGAACATGTAAAAAGACTACTCAATTGGAGAGCGATTTTCCATTCATTAAGAAGGCAACACACGACAACGACTTGCACGTTCGGGGTGACAAATGTAAATCCGATTTTCTGTGACTACGGTGGCAGATCAGCTATGATCCAGCACTTACCATCGGATCGTTCTAAGGCAGACATGTCTGCGACAGCGGCTTCTATCCTTGAAGTAAGTATTTCTGATCAGCAACGTTTGGAAACACATAATCCAATTTAACAGCCATCGAAGTTATTTTCTCTTACCACGCTGTATTTCATAACCATGGTTGCCACTCCGTGAATTGCAACATAAAGTTGACACAGCAAATGTTTAAGCCGAAGTTTGCTTGTGTCCGCACAAAAGGAGGTGCAAATATACTAATAATAATATTAGTATTATTATTAACCGCATATCATGTACATTTGCAGGATAAACTTCAGGAAAACTGAGGAAAGTAAAATTCTTGTCAATGTTTACAGGTGCCTCAAGTCTCAAGGAAGTAAACGTGTTCGCGCTCCTTATGAGATATTTGATGCCGCCATCGGGTATTGTGATTTAACTTATTAGATCTGCACTCACTTATTGATGACATGGGACACCATTTGTCAGTTTATAAAGAATGTGTTTGAAGAGAATAACATGAGTAGAAAATTGTGGGATTTTGTGCTGACAACACGAACACAAATTTCAGTGGCTTTCAAAGAACCGGACAAAATAATGTACTTGCGAAATTGAAATCTTCCATTAAACACTTGTGGGGATTAGTTGCGTGGCTCACGTTGTCCACAACACATTGCAAACGTCGGCTGACTGTTGTCCTATTGATACTGAAACAGTTGGGGCGAAAATATATTTCTACTTTACATTTAAACCGTTCGTGTTATAGAACTCAAGGAATTCTGTGACTCTACAATGGTGGAATCCCAACGCATTCTAGGACACGATAACACTAGATGGGTTTTATTTATACCAGCA